GAAAGCTTTTATGTATTTTAGTTGGATATTCCAAACTACATCTAATAGATCTAGTAATCTGTAGTGTAACATATTGTATAACTTTAAGGTATGAAAATCACTCATTTCATTGTTCATAAATTTGAAGTGATATACATGTATATTAATATTTGGGGCAAATGAAAATCTAATTATCTTAGATTTACATTTAGAAAAATCTAATTCAGATCAACATGGCCTATAACTATAGATTTTTTTCTTATTGGATATATTCATTCTTTTTCTTCTTCTATAAGGTTCTATTTTTTTTAGATTTTCAACACAGCACAAACAGTTAGAGCAACCATCACCTTTCCTCTCTCTTGGTCAGAACCTCAGACACAGGGAGAAAAATCAACATATCACAAATCATGAAGAGATTAAGCTAAATCTCTCCCAGTGGCTGTTGTTTAAACAGAAAATTTGGTTTATAATTTTTCAGGGCTTTAATTTTGAAATTTCACATTTACGAGGTTTAGTCACATCTGGAGGTGATCAGCTCTCATTCTGAATTTAAAGCATTTACTAAAAACATACAACTCTTAGGAACACGATTGATTGCAACTTTGCATAATCAGAGAAAAACTGCAGATTTTGAGGGGCTTTAAATTTAAAGTTCCACGTGATTTAGTTTGGGATTGATGATTCACTTGAAGGGCTTCATTTGTAGATAAAACTAGTCAAGTGAAAAACATTTTTAAAACCATTAAATGTCCAATGAGATGTGTTTTGGGGTTGGTATAAAAGGGTTAAGATGTTTTCTGTCAGAACACAAGAAAAATAGCATAAAGCTAAAGAAATTATTAATTATGTCAAGCATAAAAAAAGAAAGAGCATAGGCATTCAGGAGTAGCCATTCAAAATTTCCCCACTTTCCTTGATGGGCCCTTGGCAGGTCCCCCAAGATTCCTTTTTTAAAAATCATTCTTCGTACTAAAATATTTTTTCTGTCATGATTTGTACACATAAAGATCTAATGAGAAGCATTATTTCCTGGTCAGACCCTGTAATTCGATGAAAGGGTGGATTCAAAGGAGTAAAAAATATGCATGCCTAGAAGAAGAAGGGGGTCACTCTAGTGGCTGGAAGTTGGCTGCTTTCGGCTGGCATTTGACTGAGAGGGCCATTTTGAATGGCTGCTACTGTACGTGAAAATCACTTATCTTGAAACAAGGCGTTACATCCATAGTTCTATAGTATTTGCGCAACCTAAAAAAGCGCACGAGGGCAGGTGACTGGAGCAGGTATAGAAAGACAAAACTGCCACATATTCAATAAAATTAACAATTGGCAAGATTAAATAAAAAAAAAATGTCAATGTATTTGTGATGCATACATTAAAGAAGTAAGTACTTTATCTTTATTAAGAAAATGTCATATTTTCATATTTTAATTATTTATCAAATGCATTTTTCTTCATGCCAGAAAGAAGTTACATAAAATTTCCAATTATAGGCATGACCTTATTATACACACTACACTACATAGTGTATTCCTGGCTGGAGTCTATGGCAAGCCAAGAATGCCAATATTTGCATCCAATTATCACTTTAAGATTGAAATTCACCCGCTAAAAGCGCATCGGTATCATGATGATACGGCAAGAACACGCGTCTTGATGGGTCAAAACGCACGTTCTTGACGCGCATTCTTACCAAGACTTACGGAGACAACACGCGTATTTGATGCGCGTTGTCTCAATTCTCCTACTATGATAATAATGTCCTTCCTTCTTTTCCGACAGCCAATGCATTTGAACTGGTTGCATCCAAACGCTGATGAGGAATATATCCACTACATGCACTTTGCTGTTATTTTGAATCCATTTCCCTGCTTATTTTCATGTAGCGTTTTTCATCAACATACATTACTAACTAATGTTTTGTGCTTTACAGGTATTATATGGAACAGTTCACCAGTTTATGCAACAGAGAAGTGGTGCAGTGGTTAAAGTGAACGCTTGTAATGCATAGGTTTGCTTCAATACAGGTTTGAATCCGGCTGAGGCGGGTCGACTTTTCCCTTTATATTCTCTCTTGTCTCTAACCGACAGTGATGGGAGTAACGGCGTTAAAAGTAACTAACACCGTTACCTTTTTTTTAGTAATGAGTAATCTAACTAATTACTTTGACTGTAACTATAACGCAGTTACCATTGCCGACACCCCATTACTGCATGTTACTCATGCAGACATCCCAAGTCTCCCGGAAGTTCCGGGAGTCTCCCTGATATAGATAGTTGTTCACGGATGCCCGCAAATCGGATAAATTATCCCAGATTTTAGACTATCAGAGGTGGTGTTTTTAATGCGAGTGAGAGCGGGCAGGCAGTACAATAATTCATGCATCATGTGCAGATTAGAACTACTGAGATTGCTCAGACAACAAGACAGAGCAGGGTGTGGGGGGGAGGTTGCTGGTGAATCCTGTGCAGAGTTTCTGTCCAAAGCGATGCTCTGTTCAACCAGCGTTCCAGGCGATTGGTTGTCAGAGAGCTGATTGGATCAGTCCGATAAGTTTCTCTGGGTTACTCTCTGGCAGTCACCTAGTTACCACTCAAAGCTGTGCATCCTGTGAAACAGCAGAGGTTGATTCCTCGAGTAAAATCCAAAAATATAGGACTAATTTTACGGCAGAATATGCTAAAGTATAGCCCCATCTAGTGAAGGTGAGGAACAGAGGCGGACCTGGACCAAATGTCCCAGGGCGCCAGGAGGGGGCCAACGTGTTTTCATGGGGGCACAGAAACGCATGAAATAAAAAACAGGGCAAGGGATATAAATATATTAAGAGAGCTGCATGAAGTGAAATTTCTTTTCAATTAAGTTCAATAAACATTCTCTTTCTTATGAGGTCAATATACATTTATAATTTAGGAATTTTACATATTTTTGACTTTAAGTTAAATCTACCATTTTCTATAACATTTAGATTAGAAATCATGAAAATCTGTAAAATTCATTTGTAAAAATTTGAGCTTATTTTTTATTTGTTGCGGGGGAAAAAACGTTTAGCAGATGAAAACTGGGATCCTATCTGAATACCACTGAAGATATCACCTTATTGTTCTTGAATAATTAGTAAAACAGAATTTGTAAAGAAAAAAATGAAATAGATCCAAAGGACCTATCCGTAACCATGGCTGTTCCAGCGCATATCGTCATTAGAATTTCTTTTAAGTCTTATGTCTTCAGTACAGGGGCCAGGACATGATCTACAGGGGCACTGGCCCCTGTCTAGAACCAGCCATGGAGAGCAATGATGACACCGTGGTGAGGTGCAGTGTATGCTGAAGTCTCATGAAAAACAGAAAGCACAACGGATGTTCAAGGCTACAAGATTTTAAGTATTGAAAATAAAAAGACCAATATTGTTTCGTTTTGTGTTTAAGAAATTACTGTTAGTTAATAAACATATGTTGAAAAGTTGCTGACCTTAACTGTGTATGTATGGGGCATGGTGTGGGTCTGTTGTCCCCAGGGTGTGTGGGGGGGTAAGCATCTCCCTGAAAGAAGTTTTTGGAACTTGGGATGTCTGCTTAGGTCGCACAATGAAACTTTTTTTCATGATAGGACTTGTGCGCGACTTATGATGAGATGAGATTGGCTGATGTATAGTGAGATTCTGTCTGTCAGTTGGGTAGGTGGGTGTCTCCGCTGGCGGGTGTTAACGTACAGCACACACAGAGAGATGGAAAGTGAGGAGGACTCCAGCAGAAAAACAGCGTTTTCCACATGGAAATGTCCGTGTTACGTTGAGCTGCGTTTCCACTGCAGCTCTGCACAGCGCAGGCGGCACGATTAAACGTGCAGGTTCGCTAAAGGTGCGTAACAGCCTCCCTGTGCTCGCGCCACAGGGGCACTACGGAGAGCGAGAGCGATAGCGATCAAATCTTAGCCTATATGGAGAAAGGGATTATAGGCCCGTTTTCTGGATACACCCCCGATGGAAGGTGCTGCACCCATACCTTGTCTCCTACTCCACAATGAAAATGTAATTAGACTCTCGCACATTTGGATCTTGTTCTAGTACACAGAAGTTGAGGTAATTACTAGTGATCAAAGGTAGTGTGACATAGATAAATAATAGTTCATAATAAATAAAAGAGATAAAATAATCCAGTATCCAGTTCTCTCTTGAAAAGGAGACACACCATGCCTATATAATATCTCAGCAAACACCTGGTTTCTGCTCTGCCAGACTGAAAAAAAAATTGTAGACCGAAGTTATTTATATCATTCCTCAAAACTACAAAAAGACAGCAACATGGTGAAAATCTTATAGGAGAGACAGAACATGAGCAATGGGGTTCGAACCTGCACCGACTTAACTAAGCATGTGTTTTATCATTGCACTACTAACACTTTGATTCAGAAATTTTCCTGTTACGGCAGTTACTCTATGGCTGTAGAAATAATTATGAGCTTGGGAAAAGGTTAGTTTCTATGGAGGAACTCTGCCATATTTAAACATAAATACAGAAGTAAATAAATGCTCAATAAATAAATAAGCATACAACTAATAGCCACCAAAAATACAATAAACAAATAAATGTAAGTAGAAATTAAAGTGAGACGTATATAACTCTTAATTAGCTTCTTTATTTATTTGCCTTTGTAATATTTACCTTATTTTTTTGATCCATTACAATCTTCAACTTTATTTTTTAAATACTTATATTTAAAGTATTTATTTATGTGCATGTTATAATATTTTTGTCTGTTTCATTCTTCCTTTGTATTTTTATACCCTAGTTATTTCTTTGCCGCTATTTATTTATTTCTGCCCTTGTTACATTTCTGCCTGTCGTTTTTTTTATTTTTTTTTATTGACCTTTTATTTCTGTATTTATTTTTAAATATGGCAGAGTTGGTCCTACATAAGTTGCTGCTGGAAGCTGAGATATGAAATATTCGGAATCAGCAGTTTCGCCACACTGTATTAATCTCGACCACCACTAGGTGTCGGTAACGTTCTGATCTGCATTTAAAATTGTTTTATTTCCGGTTCCGGTGGTATAGTGTCCTTCTCAGGCAGGCGATATGTTGGCCCGGTTGTCTCGGTTCGGGCTCGCATTGCCCCGGTCTCTCGCTGTTCCACCTGCGCGCTTTGTATCCCAGTCCAAAGCATCCAGCGCCACCGCTTCCACGGCGGTGACCGAGCTGCACCGCCCCGGAGAGCAGGCCGGACACGGTGAGGTCAGCCCGTATGTCAAGGTGAGTTTAGCAGCTACATCTCCTGCTTTTATAGACAGGCTGACTGGACAGATGGCTGGTAACGGTCATGTTTGCTTTGACCTGTCCGGGTTGACAACTGATCCTGTTTATTCTGTTAAGATGGATTCAGATTCTTCACATTTAAATTCTAAAACACTCAGTCACTGATCCTTAGATCCCAGGGAGGAAATACAACAACTATGCTAACAAACAGCTAACTAATTGGCTAATCATAGAAAACACAGTAAAGGGTATTGACAGTTTTCTGGTTTGTTTTTAATAATTTTTCATTATTAGAATCCAGATTACCACGGCTTCTCCAGCGATCCTGTGGAGGATGAATGGAACATGAAGGTTGGCTTCTTCTTGGGCATCTCTGTGGCTCTTGTTATTGGAGGAACCTTTATCCACTACTTACCAGACCACGGGTAAGCTCACATGTGAGATGCCAGGTTGAGTTGAGAGATTAGAATGAAAAGATTGTATGCTGAAATGTTCAAGATCGCTAATTGCCATAAAAACAGCTTCTTCCCCTCTGCCATAAGACTCATGAACACCCAACTATATGTCAGACTCTATAACCTGCCCGTGCCATTTACACTGCTCTATTTGCACACTGCTGTATTTGCACTCCTTGTAAGATGCTATTTTACTTTTTACATTTTATATCCATATTTTTATCTTAAGTGTATATATTAGTCTATTTTATTGCATGCCTTATACCCACAGTGTTTTAGATATTTTTGTAATTTTATTTACCTATTCCATATTATGTTTCATGTTGCACGATTGTACCATAAAAAATTCCTAGTTTGTGAACTCCTTCACTAACAATGGCAATAAACCTGATTCTGATTGTGTTTAGCTTTTATTCGAAATGTTATAACCCAGGAATCCATGGCTGTTGTGAGTTAAAAAAAAAAATATGAAAGATTAATCTTTCTTATTTTCTGTCCAGTAAACAATGTCTGAGATAAAGTAATCATTTTGTTCTGTAGTTGTGAAGGGAGCATTGTTGTTAAAAACAAACATAAAAAAAAGTCACAAACTAAGCAGATATTCACCTTCACGATTTTCTTTTACAGATCAGAGTTCACATTTACAAGTCCTAATGTAGTAAAACACTCCATGACACTATCATCAAGATTTTTGACTGTAATAATTACCTTAAATGTTGTTAGCTTTTCACCAAATGTAACAGAAAGCATTCCTTCCTAAATGTTCCAGGATTATCTCACCAGCTGACAAAATATCTTCTCTAGAAATAATTCATTTCCACACAGGGAATTTGTTGTTTTAAGAAAGCATATCCCTCCAACAGGCATCCCAAGTTCCAAAAACTAATTTCAGGGAGATGCTTATCAAACCCCCCGAACAACCTAACTTTACTCGAGGATTCAACCTCTGCTATTTCACAGGATGCACAGCTTTGAGTGCTGACTTGGTGACTGTCGGGGAGTAAATCAAAACTTATTGGCTTATATTTCTGCATTTTCAATCAGCGCGCTTTCTGACAACCAGTTGTCCCGATGAACAGAGCATCACTTTGGACAGATACGCTGCACAGGTTGCACAAGCAACCTCCTCCCCACACCCCCTTTCTCTTGTTGTGTCTGTGCAATCGAAGTAGTTATAATCCGCTCATGATGCACAAGTTATTGTATTGCTTGCACGCTCTTACTCACATTAAAAAACACAACCTCCCATAGTCTAAAATCCGGAATGAATGATTTGACTCCAGGGCATCTCTGAACAACTATCTATATCAGGAAGACTTATGGGAGATTTGGGATGTCTGACATGTCATGGAATGGTCTTATTAGATTGCTAAAATGATGTTGTGTTTTTCTTTTAAGAGGACAGGACGCAGTTCCCTTGCTTCAGTACACCTTATTATATTTGATTGCTCCTTGGTGGGTTTTGCTGAACTGCCATTATCTCAATCAGGTGTGTTTGAAAGACATGGGAAACATACAGGCTGGTGCTCAGTACCAGGAACTAATAGTTTGGTTTGTTCAAATAATCATACAGGGTAAATACATTAGAGAAATATTCTAATGGAGGTTTCGGTATTATTTTAATCGACAATGAGGGACAATAGCAAATGATAATTTGTAGCCAAAAATGTGTTAACATGAGATCTAAGCAGTCTTTGTGGTTTTCAGTATGCGGCAGTGGGCCAGAAGGGAAGCAGAGCGGCTCATCCAGGTCAGAGAGAAAGAAGGTCTGCCTCTCATCGATGAAAACTATTATGACACAACGAAAATTATACTGCCTTCATCTGAGGAATAAACCTTCAGCACTGTCCCACTGTATTTCATGGTTATTGTAAATCACTGATATAATAAAAGATATTCTTATTGGATTGTGTAGTTTTGTTTTTTCTTAACCTGATTCTAATAAGTTGTTTTGCTGTTAAGTCGTTTTATTTTAACTGTTTTTCATATATAACTGTTTCACAGGAGTATTGAAATGGATGAATTTTATGCAGTGCATGAGGTAGCAGTTTTTTTCAGTAAAACAAAGTCCTGCTTCATCTTTTCAGACTATTATCAAAACCTTTGTTGATCAGCAGCTGTTAAAGCAGTTTTGGGTGATAGCCGAAACAATTCAGAAAGAAAATGAACTGCAAGCTGGGCCCTGTTAATTAATAAACATGTTCATGTTGCTGCAACGCCATACACCGTAATGATCCCCGGAATAGGAAACTATGCAAACAATCTGATTTTTTTACATTCAGGCTACAACGTGAGAGGATTTATATAGGTGTGTTTGTTTTTCCCTGCATCCCAAACCTAAACTTGAATATACTTTAATGTAAAAATGACCGCTTTAGGTCTTAGATCTACCTAGATCAATAACTAATGGATCAACTAGAATATATTGCAAGGTGGCTTTATGTAGAATCTCAGCAGGAGAAGCAGGGTGATAAAGTATGGGACCTTCACTGATTATTTAAAAAAAAAAAAAAGGATTTATTGTGTATTAGCCTTATTTTATATTTATTTTTTTCATCCAAGAGCCCAAATTGGGAACAAGCAATACACATTAGCTCTGGGTAAACAGCTCAGATTACAGCAAAGTTTTCAATTTACCAGTCTATATTCAAACTGAATGAAAATTTGATCCAGAATAACAAAAATTAGATCTAGGATACCAGTAACTTAGCCTTTTCTTTCCTAGGGTGGCTGGACTCAGGCTTATGAGGTAAGGCAAGGAGCTTGAATTTCACGGAGGAGCTTGTGGTAGAAATGCTGCGCTTTCACTTCCAGAATAGGTGGTTGAGAAAGTCCTGGAATCTGACCAGGAAGCCTCAAGAACACTTTCCTGCAGGGGCAGATTCAGGAAATTTGAGGACCTAGGCAATAACAGACAGGGGTCCCTCTAAATTGAGAAGACGACACATAAAACACCCATTATACATATGCAGAAATTTTAATAGAATAGACATCCATTATTTGTTCTAAGTTTTGTCCCTCTCGTCCCTTTTCTTGTTGTTTTCCTCTCTGACCCACTGGAGGAAAGGATAGATGGATACTAAACAATAGGGCCAAGCCTTGAGAAAATACTACATTATAGTTTTAGTTATCCTTAATAACTGAACTTTGCTACTTTAACTCAGTAACAAAAAGAAATCAACCCAGTTCTTAAGATGATGCTTAAGCTGCTTTATGTACCGATGTTTATTTTGCATAAATTAAGAGCTGCAGAAGTCACAAAAGGTTCAGACAGGAAGCTAAAAAAAAACAAATGCTGATCATCATCAAGGTCAATTTGCACCAAGGTAGCTGACCAGCACTGAAGATGAAGGCATATTAATAGGGCTGTGGTGTTGGTTTCATCATACTTTTAACAGAGTTCTCACCCACATTTCTTGAAGTCCAAACAGCTGAAATGATAGTTAATTCTGTAAAAAGCTAAATCTTAATCAGAAAACCTTTTATCTGTATGATGGAATGCAGTTTTAGCGATGAGCTCCTGCTCTTTCTGGACAACAACTGAAAACAGCCTGGCAGGTCATAAACATAATCAGTCTTCAATGGAAGGCAGTAAATTTATGGGCGCACGGCGGAAAAAGAAGCTTGAACCTCTGTGGAGCTGACCCTAAAGGAGGATGGGAAAAACGGATAAAATTTTAATTTTCTGCTAAGACTTTTTCCTGCTCATAAGCATAAGAGTGCTGCTATGACAAAGGTTACCTTGGTACTCAGATAATTCCAACAGTGCAGCCAGGATTTGAAGATGGGAGACTGAGGAGGAAGGCCTGCAGCTAGACTGGAAATACAGTTCCACCAGTCAGAGCACAGCAGTAGCACCACAGGGAAATTTGCTTCTACTTTCAGAATGTGACATTAAGTTACACGATTCTGTTGTCTAAAACCTTTGGGGATAAGGATAGCGGAATGTTTGGTTTGATGACAAACACTTGCCCTGAAGCAGGATTTAAACATCATGTGATCACTTCTACAGGACCACGAAATACTCAGACCTTTAATTGATCCTGTCATTACTCACCCACAATTGTTGATAGCCATTATATCAGCAACCAGCGTAAATGGATAAGTGAGAACACTCACTGTAATCTGGAGAAATAGAGTCAATGTCAATGTAGCAGTGGACTATCAGAGCCTAGCAATGAAAAAAATGCTTTGAGGATATACTTACGCCCATCACAAACTTTGTGTAGCCTCTTATTGCTGATGCCTGACTAAACTAAAAAATACAAACACATGGAGATTTGATTAAATTAAGATGTAAAGGATAAATTATATTACATTTTAACCCCTCATACTCCTGGTCGGGGTTGGTGACACCTTTATCTCAAGCTCAGGTCCTCTACCAGAGGCCTGGGAGTCTGAGGGTTTCTCTCAATATCTTAGCCTCCCTAGAACTGCACATTACTGGACTGGGATCTCTGATGTTGAAGCCACTTTTCCAGTGTGGAGGTTACTGCCCCAAGGGCACTACAGTTGCCTTCAGCTTGCAGGCTCTTTGTATCTGGAGGTCCCACAGGATCTTAGCTCTGTCATTCTCTACCACTTTGGGAGGTGGCTAGTATTTTTACATGGGGGTCTCCAGTTGTATGCTGAAGAGATGTTTCTGTAAACTACATCAGCCACTTGGTTATGATGTTCCATGTTTTATTTTCTTGCTAGTACCTTACACCCTGCTGTGAGATGGTGGATTGTTTCTGGGGCCATTTTACCCAAAGATATGTGTGGGCGTTTGTGGCTGTGTGTGTTAAGACAGAAAGAACTCCATTTCACTCGCACCCCCCGCCATGCTTCTGCGTTTACATTTGAGAGGAAGAAAGAGAAGAATCCTTGTTTGCGCATGCCCATTGAGCAATTTGCCCACGACGGTCAGTAGAAAATCAAACATGGTTGATTTTGTCCCAACCTCATGATTCCTGATCAGGAGGTGGTCATGAGAGGCTGATCGCCCCTACCTACCCCCTGTACACTACACAATCAGGCTGAATATCGGCCCGATCGGAAACTTCTTGCACGACTAAAAAAGTTGCCCCGAAAAGGGCAAAAAATCGCACAGTGTAAGCCCTGCTTTAGATAGGTAGGTAGGTATCTATATATATCTTGCATACTTTTCATGGTAGAAAAATCCCACAATGGTCACAGAAATAAGTTGAAACTGACCAAAGTATTAAAAACATATAAAGTCTATTAAAATAAAGAAAGGAAAGATATACATTGATTTTTAACCATGCTTTAACAAAATGATTAAAATAATTAAACTCATGAAATAGGCCTGGAAAAAATATGATACTTTTAACTTTTGTTACAGCTGAGGCAATCACTGTAATTAAATGATTCCTGTAACTGTCAATTTGATCTCTGCTCCTCTTAGTAGGGGTTCTGGCCTCTCTTAATGAGCAAACTGCCTAAGTTTTGTCAGGTTTGAAGGGTGCCTTATCCAGATGTCATAAGTCTAACCTGGCATGCACAGTATCAATATGGAAAGCTTCATGTAGAAAGCATTTCTAAAATGCAGGGACATTTAGTACATTTCTTCGAACTGATTGGGTACCTGCCACCATGTTTTTTCATAGCTACAGTATATATATATGTAAACTTTGGTTTATTGAGGAATGTTAATTTCTTAATCAGTCAATTGAAAAAAAATTATACATTAAGTGATTTCTAAAATAATAGATAGTTGCAGGGCTAGATGAAATTGTTTCTGTCTGGTTTTGTTTGGACCCAAAAAAATTACAGCAGCTCTTCTTATCTTAACTACAGGCCACAATGTATTTTTTCAGCAAACAGCATCCATTTTCACAGCTCATATACGCACACTGTCATCAACAGCATAGGTGTTGATAAAGTGAGCCAGTAGGTTACAGCACCACAGGAACAGGACCTCTCCCAGCAAATGTGGAACAAAACCACTGCAAGCAAGCACATTGGTGAGACTGGTGGGGATCCGAGCAGGATTTAAACATAATGAAAGAACTGTATAGAGGGAGTCAGAACTTGCATATAAAATCCAGTCAATCCTTCCTCCTTAAATATCTTCACAATGCATCCAAAAACACCACTGCAAATAAAAGAAAAGAAACAATACATTCAGCAACATTTCACCACAAACACGAGATCGGCCAATTACAGTCAGCCCTGTTGAACTTTTCAATGTATTGCAATATTTAGGCTTTAAGCATAAAGATCTAAAATAGTAATTCTTGGTAAAGAATCAACAAGTGGGACACAATCATTAAGTGGAACACCATTTATTGAATATTTTAAACGTTTTGAATAAAAAACCAAGAAATTAAAAATCATTCAGCTCCCTTGAGTTAACAATTTTAGGTCCACCTTTTGCTGCGATTACAGCCGCAAGTCATTTGGGGAATCAGTTTTGCACATCGAGTGACCACAATTTTTGCCCGTTCCTCCTTGCAAAATAGCTTGAGCTCAGTGAGGTTGGATGTAGAGTGTTTTCTAACAGCAGTTTCTAGTTGTTTCCACAGATTACCGATTGGATTCAGGAGTGGACTTTCAATTGGCAATTCTAACAACTGGATATGTTTATTCATGAACCACTCCATTGTAGATTTGCTTTATGTTTCGGATCATTGTCTTGTTGGAAGACAAATCTGCATCCCAGTCTCAGGTCTTTTGCAGACCTAAACAGGTTTTCTTTCAGAATGGTCCTGTTTTTGGTTCCATCTATCTTCCCATCAATTTTTAATCATCTTCCCTGTCCCTGCTGCAGTAAAGGCCCAAACCATGAAGGTGCCACCACCATGTTTGACATTGGGATATTCAGAATCATGAGCTGTATTTGTTTTACGCCAAACATAATGTTTTACATTTTTGGCATCTGACCAGAACACCACCTTTCACATTTGGTGTCTTCCAAGTGGTTTGTGGCAAACTTTAAACGAGAAAGGTTACAGATATCTTTAAGAAATGGCTTTCTTCTTGCCACCCTTCCATAAAGGCTAGAGTAGTGCAGTATCTACTGATTATTATCCCATGGACAGAGTCTTCCACCTCAGCTGTAGATCTCCTAGTTCATCCAGAGTGATCATGGGCAGATGGAGAAGGACTGCAATCATTGACATGGATTGAACTGACTCTCAACACATTATCTGCAACAGTTATAATACCTTGTGTGATTTTGCCTGCTAAGAGTCTAACTTTCCCTACAGTAGTTGGAATTGACTATATTTTCTTCTACGGCTTACAGTTCTAATATTTCTGAAAACAGTTACTGGTCTAAAACTAACAAGAATCAACTCTTCCTTTTAACCGACACCATCATGGAAAGAAATATTAGCTGTGCTGCTGCCATCAACACCTTTGTTTCTAGATGTTGGAGCTTGGCCTGTTTTCCAGTGTATTCCTGTTTCTCCGACTGTGACTGACTGGATGTGCTCTCTTTCATCCTCATTGGAGCTGGCTTGGAGTTTGTCTTCCTGGCTGTGTGTTTCCTGGATGGGGCTGCCTGTGGAGCAGGTTTACAGCTGCCTTTTGTATCTATGCTTCTTTTTCTATGTCTGCTTCTGTCTCCTTGAACCCCCAGTCAACCTCGGAATACGGCCGCTCACACTGAGCCTGGTGCTGCTGGAGGTTTTCATCCTGTTAAAAGGGATTTTTTTTCTCTCCACTGTCACTACAAGAATGCTTAGAGTGACTGATTTCCTTTGAGTCAATGAGTCAATGCAATTAACTGGTTTTCCATAGATGGAAAACTTTGAATTAGAGCCCTGCACTCCCGCGGGACTCTAGGGACCCAACGCAAAGCAGTGCGACGCAGGACAAATATTGAAAGCTCATGGCGGGTGTGGGCAGGAGGGAGAGCGCACAGCGCAGGTGCGGGCGGGAGCGGTGATAAGCGGCAGTCCCGCGAACTAAAAATTAGTTTTAAAATGTAAAATAAAGTCATAAATTATCAGTCTATGTCTATCATATACATACATCAAAATGTGCTGGGTGGGGCCTCCATCATACGGTGTTTAAAATGATAAATTATAACTTATTATATATCTATTTTATACGTGAACATGATGATGAGTGGCATATACGATTATGCACAATATATTATTCCTAATATCTTCAGTAGATTTTGGTAGGTTAGTTGGGTATTGCTGTGAAGCAGCAGTTCGTGCCACCAAACATATGTCATGCACTATGCCAGTAATGAGCTCACCTAAGCACAGCGTGTTTAATTTCTCAAACTAATGACACAAATTGCCTTGAGCAGTAGGCGAACGTTATAATCATGCCGGAATTGTTTGCGGGAGCGGGACAAACTATTACAGGTGTGGGCAGAAGCGGGACTGAAATCATAAATATTTGCGAGAGCGGGACTGACCACAGCGGGAGCGGCTGGGCACGGGACTGGAAAATCTGTCTCATGCAGGCTTCTACTTTGAATCAATTTGACTGGATGATCTGGTTAAATTGTAAAGTGCATTGAGATGACATGTTGTCAATTGGCACTATGTAAATAAAGTGAATTGAATTATACACCCCCCGGCCACTTTATTAGGTACCCCATGCTAGTAACAAGGCATTTCCGCCCACAGAACTGCCACTCACTGGAT